GAGATTCTTTGGGTAAACAGCACATTGAATTACTTACTATGACGAGTCCTTCCTTTTGATTTTTTTAGTGGTTGCCTGATTTTTTTTCTTTTTCAATTTTGTCACTTGCTTATTCTGTGTTCCTGACTGCTACAACTTTCAGCTCATTTGTCATACAATGTCAAGGGGCACAATAATTCACGGTACACATCCAGTGGATGAAAGGTCATCTCCAATTCTGTTGGAAAGTTTACTTCAAAGCAGGATACTCGGATCAGTTTAAATAAGACAGATTTTGTTTAGATATAAGGGAAATTGCCTTGGCCTTCTGGGTGATTAAACACGGGAGCGGCTATGGGAGGACTTTGGAGTTGGGGTCCCAGGGAATCTTCCAGACAAAAGGAGAAGCTTCCCCTGGAGTTTAGGCAGGAGTCTTTCCCTGCCTTCAGCCAAGGTGAACGGTTGGGTATGTTTCTTCCTGCTCTGATGCTTTGATCCTTACAGTGAATCATTTTTTTCTATTCAGATAGAGGTGTCTTTGTTCATTTATCTTATTGATGCGCCAAAAAAGAAAGACAAGTCAGGAATATATAAACTGTATATTTTTACAGAAGTATTTTTGTTTAAATTCCTTTTTAAAAAAAATTATATTCAACAGACAAAAGCTTTCTCTGTCAAATTGCTATAAAAGTTTCTAAACACTTTCAATTCCTGTACTTATCTCATTACAGACTAGTAACAAACAAACCTCCCCTTTCTCTGGTCAGAGTATTTCTAACCCAACAAACGTTAAATTAAGGCCTGCCGCTGCTTGTTTAGTCTCCTGGGTGCTTTTTTCCCTTCTTTTCATTTTTGGTGTGTTGTTGTCTATTTGTGAAAAACAAAACAGTTCCATTAATAATGTAAGACAAATATAAGATTGGTGGGATTGAGCTTGATTCATCTGAAGAGCATTTCATGAAAATAAACTACCATGGTAGAGCTGCAAAATAATGTTGTGTCCTTCAGAATATCCATGAACTGCTTGATTCAGACAGACAATGAAGAATTCAGTTAGGTCTTGTACATACCACGTGAGGACATGTGCAACCAGCAGAAATGAAACGACTTGAGTTGATAAGTTGTCTCAGGCTGAATTCGTGGTCTGTATTCTCTTTATCTTGGATTTTTTTTTTTAAGACAGAGTCTCGCTCTGTTGCCCGGGCTAGAGTGCCGTGGCGTCAGCCTAGCTCACAGCAACCTCCAACTCCAGGGCTCAAGGGATCCTCTTGCCTCAGCCTCCCGAGTAGCTGGGACTACAGGCACAGGCCACCACACCCAGCTAATTTTTCTATTTTTAGTAGAGACGGGGTCTGGCTCTTGCTCAGACTGGTCTTGAACTCTCCTGAGCTCAAGGGATCCTCCCACCTCAGTCTCCCAGAGTGCTAGGATTACAGGTGTGAGCCACCACACTGGCCCAATGTTCAGTTTCTTATACTAAAGGTGCCTTATGTGTGGGTATGGTTATTCTAAGGCAGATGTTATTAAGAGTTTTTTGTTTTAAAAAATAGCTGTTTCTAGCACTCTGGGAGGCCGAGGCGGGTGGATTGCTCAAGGTCAGGAGTTCGAGACCAGCCTGAGCAAGAGCGAGACCCCATCTCTACTAAAAAATAGAAAGAAATCATCTGGACAACCAAAAATATATACATAGAGAAAAAATTAGCCGGGCATGGTGGCGCATGCCTGTAGTCCCAGCTACTCAGGAGGCTGAGGCAGAAGGATTGCTTGAGCCCGGGAGTTTGAGGTTGCTGTGAGCTACGCTGACACCACGGCACTCACTCTAGCCCGGGCAACAAAGCGAGACTCTGTTTCAAAAAAAAAAATAGCTGTTTGCAAAGTATTTGCAGTGGTTCACACCTGTAATCCTAGCACTTTGGGAGGCTGAGGCAGGAGGATTGCTTGAAGCCAGGAACTGAAGACCAGCCTGGGCAACAGAGCAAGACCCCTTCTCTACAAAAAAATGGAAAAATTAGCCAGGTGTGGTAGCATGTGCCGGCAGTCCTAGCTATTCAGGAGGCTGAGGCAGGAGGATTGCTTGAGCCCAGGAATTTGAGGTTGCAGTGAGCTATGATGGCATCCACTGCACTCTAGTCCAGGGAACAGATTTGAGACCCTGTCTCAAAAAATAAACTAACAATAAATAAATCAAAATTTAGTTGCACTAGGCACATTTCAAGTGTTCCATAGCCACATGTGGCTAGTGGCTATTGTGTTGAACAGCACAGATACTGAATATTGCCGTGATTGTAAGGAGTTCTATTGGATAGAGGTGCTGACTTTGAATTTCATTATAATTCCATCCTAAGTCTCTAGTAAATTTGGCCAAGCAGAGAAGAGGTATTTACACTTGTCTCAGTTGTGGTACAATTCTATGCATTACCTATTTATAATGGATCTAATACAGGAAATTTTTATCTCTTTCAGGCAGTTCTATCAAAAAAGGGCTTCTATGGAACATCTTTTAAAAATATCTATAGACTTAGAATATTCAACTGAATCTAATTCATGGGCTTAACACTGAAATGAACCAGCCATTTAAAAAACACTAAAAATAAGTCTAACATGCCTTAAAGGATTAAACTGTTAGTAAAAATTTCCTTTCACAGAAAATACGGAGTTTTTGTGTGGTTTCTTTTTTGCAGTCATTCTAGACTTTGAATCAATGATATTTATAGGTTGGGAAACTATCCGATAATAAGAAACAATTTATTTAAAAATATATGCTTGTTGGAAATTTCACAAATCAGTGACTCAATCAAGCAATATCTAAGATACTGAATAATAATACAATAATGCCTATGGCTTTAAAGTGGGAAGTACCCAGTTAGTTTAAATAGGAATGACCTGATTAATAGAGAAGTTAAGACAATTCAGTAGGGAAAGCTGGACTCTAGTATCAGGACAATTGTATATCTGTGTGGTTAAAAAAATAAAAACAAAAACAACCTCACCTTAAGTAATCATGGAAATGCAACATAAAACAGGAACGAAATAACAGTTTTCACTCATCAGTTCGGCAAATATTAAAGTGAGGTGGTGGTCAAGTGGTGGCAAAGATGTAGAGAAAGGATATTCTGACACACTGGTGTGTGGCAGAACTTGGCACTTGGGAGGACGTTGTGTCCTGTCTCCACGCTGAAGCTGGTAGCCCTTGGATGTGTCCCGTGTGCACACCGCCGGCATACATGCATTATAGCTTTGTTTAGAAGGGTTGGGTTCCAGTTTTTGCTGTCAGAGGATTGGGCAAATAGACTGCATCATATGGTAAAATACCATGAAGCATTAAGCAAGGTGAATTATGTCCATGTGTATAAGTATGGATACATTTCCAAAAGAGTCGAAAAAAGGAAGTTGATAACATGTATGTTAAATGTAACCAAAACAGTATTATATGTGGTCTGTGGCTACATACAAATGTCCACGAGACAGACATGGACTGGAAGGGTGCACACCTCCTCGGAGGACCTCTGGGAACAGGGAGAGCGGGACCCACACGGAGGTGGATGGGGGTCCTATTGTTCCCCGTAATGTTCTCATTTAAAATCTTGTATCTTTATATATTTGTGTCATTTAGAAAAGAACATAGAACAAATATGGCAAAACATGAACAGTAGTTAATTCTGGGTGGTGGGAATGTGGTGACTGTTGTTTTCTTCTTTATACTGTTAGCTATGTTTCCCACCATCCTCTAACCAAAAAGAAAAAGAAAAAATTTAGACTTAATCTTAATAGGAAATACCTGTAATTATTAGCATCATTTCCATTCTGTTTTCCTAGAAAATGTGGACACAGACTTGCAAGCCAGCCTGGGGCAGAGTGACGAGAAGCCTGTGCCCGCCGCTCCTGTGCCCAGCCCAGTGGCCCCGGCCCCGGTGCCATCCAGAAGAAATCCCCCTGGCGGCAAGTCCAGCCTTGTCTTGGGTTAACTCCGACTGTCCTGAACTCTGTCGTTTTGTTTGTTTGTTTCCTCCATGCTTGTGAACTGCACAACTTGAGCCTGACTGTACATCTTTTGGATTTGTTTCATTAAAAAAGAAGCACTTTATGTACTGCTGTTTTTTTTCCCCCTTTTTGAAGAACAGGTTTCTCTTTATCTGTCCTGGCTCCTCTGGGTCTGTGGACCATGGCATGAGTGTTTTCTAGTAGTAGATTGGAGGGAAAGCTTTGTGACATTTAGTACCGTGTTTTTAAGAACAAATAATTGGGTTCCAAATGTGTTAGAGGATCTTTTGTACTGAGGTTTTTAACACGCTACTTGGGTTTACCAAGCCTGGATTGGACAGACCATAAACAGTCCACAGGCACCATCCTGTCAGGCCCCGACACACAAGGCTGTCTTACGCAGAGCCTTCTCCTTGGTGTTACCTAACTTACCAGTGCCCTTTGCTAAAAGCATCTTACTGTGCCATACGGAACAATAAAGAGGCCTGCGCCTCATGCCTTGCTGCCTGCAGAGCAGAGAAACTGCCTTTTATTTTTCAACCTTCAGAAGTCAGATGCTAACGTGACTGGCTGGCTGGCAAGCACAGCCTGCTGCTCTCACGCAGAGGAAGGCTCGGACGTACAATCAGACTGGCCGCGACTGAACGTGGTGAAGCAAGCGAGGGAGGCTGTCACCGAAGCGGGTCTTATCCGGGAATGGACCCCACAGGGGCATTGCTGTGAAATAACTTGACGCTGTGTGCATGACGCTGGTGCTTGACCATGAAACGAAAGCCTCATCCTTAAAATGTGTGTTGTACTTCACAATCCTGGACTGTTGCTTCAAGTAAACAATATCCACGTTTTGAAACATTGTGTCCTGTGTCATCTTTTTTGAGATTGTTTCAACATTCTCTGCTGTTTAGATGCTTTTTTCCTTTGTTACTACAACTCTTGCCCAATGATTTGATGAGTCATTTAAAGTTAAAAGGGATGAATGAAGACCAGAGAGAAGTGGGTTTCTCTCTAAAGAAGATAGGTTAGACTTTTCTACCACCCACCCTTTGTGCTGGACAGTAACATTTTAAATGTTAAGTCTTCTCCACACTGGTGAGGTCTGTCTCAATGGTGGAGGTTGAAGAGGAGGGCCACAAAGGAAGAGTCCACGTAAGTAGATGGGGGTGAGGGCCCCTGAGTCCCTCAAGTGATATGGGGGCCGGAAGACTGGAGAAAACTCTCTGGGTTCTAGGCAGAAAGTTGCAGATCAACAATCCACATTCAATGTCCAAATCAGGCCCTATGAAGACCTAGCTTTAGGTCTATCTAAACTACTGACCGCTAGCTGTGTTCCTGTGGCTTGTCACTTGGGCCCCAATTTCCTAACTTACAAAGAGACAACTTTGAACTAAATTTGAACTTTGAAACATTCAGAGCTTTTCTTTGGAAAGAATAGGGGATTCATAGGTTGTGAGGTATTAAGTTTTCTTCCCTTACTGTGTTCACAAAGCATTTGCAGAGTGGAGAATCAACAGCTGGACATAGGACCCTTCCAACGTTATGAAAACGGGTTAGCGCCCTACACACACTAACGTGGGTTTCACTGGCCTGAGTTGCGGTTTCTGCTATGAATCTAACAAGGTAAGGAATCTACACCTTTCTCAGCCTCTGTTGGTAAGGGTGGGGCTTCTGGAAAAGAAATGTCCCTGGTTTGTCACAACTTTATTTGGCTTTAATTTTTTCATTCTATGAAGATAAGTGCCTAATCAAAACTAAAGGTGTTCTGAAGGACCGTTCAACCATTTTAGTACTGTTAACAGATTTTAGGAAATTCTATGTAAGCACGTTTGCTAAAGGGTGTTCAATTTTTCAGTTAGAAAACAGGGTCTAGGGACCAAGAGTTTGAGCGAGGGATGCAGACCAGGAACCTGAGTGAGGTCAGGTGCCCATCAAAGGGATCCCCAACCTGAGATGCGGTAGGAACAGAGTGCTCAAGAAGCCCCATCCTTGGTGCCGTCAACCTGTCACCCAGCCTGGGGCTGTTCCTGGTGCTGGGTCTGCTAGGGTGGAGCCTAGGGGCACATCCAACGTCCACATACACTGGCCCCCTCTATCAATGGGAAGAGCACTAATAAGCCCACCAGCCTCAGCTCCAATGGGACCCTGTCTCAGGAGGCCCTCACAGCCACTATCATGGTCTTATGCATCCTGGCTGCCATGCTCCTGGCTGTGGGGCTGGCACTATTGGTGTGGAAACTTTGGGGAGATGTGGCAGATGGAGGGCACCCACCGGCCCAGCAACGAGGAGCAGTTCTCCCATGCAGCCAAGGCCCGGCCCCCTCAGGACTCCAAGGAGATGGTGTAGGGCTGCCTGCCAATCTAGATCCCTTCCCCTCCATCTGTCCCTTCCTTGCTATGTGACCTTGGGGGAAGGCGGAGTCCTCTCTGGACAGTCAGACCCACCCAGCGCTTAGGAACAGAAGGGAAGAAGGTGCTTTGAAGACTTTGTCCCTGGGGCAAGGGAAGGTGCCGCTGCTCACTTTTTATATATATATATATATTTTTTTTTATTTCAGCAAATTATGGGTGTACAGATGTTTAGGTTACGTGTGTTGCCCTTCGTTCCCCCCACTTTTTATATATTTACATAAAATTGGTAGTGAGATATAACATTTTTTGAGCTGTAAAAAAAGAAAACATAGGATCTAGAAAGTGAAGTTGATCTCAAAATGATGATGGGGACTACTCAAAAGTTATACATTTTGTTACATGGATGAATTGAAAAATCTAATAAAAAAAGTCTGGGTGTGGTGGCTTATGCCACCTAGCACTCTGGGAGGCCAGACGGGAGGATCGCTCAAGGTCAGGAGTTCGAGACCAGCCTGAACAAGAGCAAGACCCTGTCTCTACTAAAAATAGAAAGAAATTAGCTGGACAACTAAAAATATATAGAAAAAATTAGCCAAGCATGGTGGTGCACACCTGTAGTCCCAGCTACTCGGGAGGCTGAGGCAGAAGGATTGTTTGAGCCCAGGAGTTTGAGGTTGCTGTGAGCTAGGCTGACGCCACGGCACTCTAGCTTGGGCAACAGAGCAGGGCTCCGTCTCCAAAAAAAAAAAAAACAAAAAAACAGGCGAAGAGTAGCAGATTCATGGACAGTTGGACCTTTCACCCAGTTTGTGTGATTCCAGTGCCTTGGTGAATGAGGGAGAAAACACAGTCTGAGATGCAGTATTTAAGGTGTCAACGGAAAAAAAGACCAAACTCCGTAAAGTAATTTTAAAGAGATTTACTCTGAGCCAAATTTGAGGACCATGACCCGGAGCCACGCCCAAGAGGCCTGAGCAAGTGGACTTGCAGAGGTTGGGTTACAGTTTGGTTTTATACATTTTAGGGAGACAGGGGTTACAGGTGAAGTCATAAATCAATATGTGGGAGGCATACACTGGTTTGGCCCGAAAAGGTGGGCCATCTCGAAGCGGGGGCTTACAGGTTATAGGTGGGTTAAAAGATTCTTTGGCCTGTAATTGGTTAAAGACATGAAGCTTTGTCTAGAGGCTTGGCATGTTTCAACATAAGGAGCTCTTTATCAGAGATAAGCTACTGGACATAGATTTGTTGTGTAAATTGAGGACCTGCAGGTTTGTCTTTGCATACCCTTAGGCCTGTTAATGGGTTACAAAGGATGTCACCAAAAAGCGAGGGGGGCATGATAAGGCATGTCTGACCTCCTTCCTCCTGGCAGGCAATTTAGTTTTAGGGTATTCCTTTGGCCACGAGGGGGTCCGTTTAGTCAGCCGGTGAGGGGGTGAGACTTAAAATTTTATTTTAGTTCACAAAGGCTTACGCAGATTCTACCTCTTAAGCGTTTTGAAATTAGCTCACCTGAGGGGCAGGCTTCCCTTTGTGAGGTTTCTGTTGCATTGGTTTGGAAGTAGTGGGGTCCTCACGTGGGGAACAGCCGCCAGAGGGGCCACTTGCTCGAATCTGGCTTATGGTTTGTTGGTAAATAGATTTCGGTGTACGCAGGCAAGTTCGTGAAATCTACAAAAAGGGGAGTAAACAAAATTTAGCAATGCTCAGCATTTTCTGGGGATGGGGTGGGGTGGAGACTGAACAGAAAGGCCGGGCGCGGTGGCTCACGCCTGTAATCCTAGCACTCTGGGAGGCCGAGACGGGAGGATTGTTTGAGCTCAGGAGTTCGAGACCAGCCTGAACAAGAGCGAGACCCCGTCTCTACTAAAAATAGATCTAGCCCGGGCAACAAAGCGAGACTCTGTCTCAAAAAAAAAAAAAAAAGAGAAAGAGACTGAACAGAAAGGAGGGCAGTCCTGATTACCTGTGCTTGATCGAAGTTGTCTTTCCAGGTAAAATCGGAGGTTTGAAGTACATGCTCCTCTGTTGCAGCCAACTTTGGTTTATGAATTAGTGAACCAGCAGTCTTCAACAGATTCACTTCACCGAACATTAACTGCAGCCCCCTGGTCTGGGCCTTGGGCTGGTGCAGCCTTCAAGCAGCAGGAGCTCTGGTCTCTGCGTGTCCTGCCCCCGTCCAGCCCGCACAAGCAGGGGGGCAGGACCTCGGCGGCCCCGGACTCGAGGGTTCGGCTCCTGAGAAAGACGTGGCGCCAGCCCCGGGCTCCGGTTAGAAAATGCTGCCCTGGATTTCGGATCCCCCTTTGTCGGGTCCCTGGAAGGTCTGTCCCCTAGCAACGTGGGGTGAGCGGGTACGTCTGCCGTAAGGGGGCGGCCGATGGGCACGGAGACCGGATGCTGGGGACGCTGAGGCTCAGGGAAGGGTCCCTGGGGCCGGGCATCCCCCGGCGCCCTATGCAAATCTGGCCGCAGGCCCCGCCCGCGCCCGCGGCTCCGGAAGCGCAGGGTTCCCGCGCCGTGCTCGTCTCCCCGCGCTCGCCGCGCTTCCGGCCGGGCCCCGCGCCCCACGGCCATGGCGGCGCGGCCGGTGCGCGTGCTGGTGGACATGGACGGCGTGCTGGCCGACTTCGAGGCCGGCCTCCTGCGGGGTTTCTGCCGCCGCTTCCCCGGGGAGCCGCACGTGCCGCTGGAGCAACGCCGCGGCTTCCTCGCGCGCGAGCAGTACCGAGCCCTGCGGCCCGACCTGGCGGTAGGGACTGTCCGGGCTCCGTGCCGAGATACCCTGTTTCTGAGCCCGCAGCTCACCCTGGGGCAGGAACGTTGGGAGACGGCCCCCTCTAGCTGAAGCTCTGACTTGGGGACCAGGACCCCCGGGAGCTTTGTTGTGGGAGTCCTCGGGAGCTAGATCTGCTGGAGGCAGACGGCAGGACCGAGAACTGTGTATCTTCCAGGACAAAGTGGCCAGTGTGTATGAAGCCCCGGGCTTTTTCCTAGACTTGGAGCCCATCCCGGGGGCCTTGGAAGCCATGCGGGAGATGAATGACATCGAAGGGTAAGGCGGGCGGGGAGGCTGAGGGGGGGCCGTGGGGGCGGGAGGGCGCGCGGACACCGCTAACTCGCCCTGCTTCCCTGCAGCACCGAGGTCTTCATCTGCACCAGCCCCCTGCTGAAGTACGACCACTGTGTGGGTGAGAAGGTGCGGCTGCCTGAGCGCCTCTTGGGCACGGTCGTAAACACTCGGTGGGGGCTGGGGGAGAGTGGACCAGTGGCTCTCAGGGCTCAGACCCCACTCTCACCTGCTCACTGCCTCTGAATTCAGGGTCCCATCAGGCCCTACTGACAGACCTGTGTCTCCTACACAGTACCGCTGGGTGGAGCAGCACCTGGGGCCCCAGTTTGTGGAGCGAATTATCCTGACAAGGGACAAGACAGTGGTCTTGGGGGACCTGCTCATTGATGACAAGGACACCATTCAAGGTTGGATCTGTTATCCTTGGCAACCTCCAGGCATCTGGCCTGCCTGGATTACGGAGAGGCAGTAAAAATAACCAGATTACGTGCTTGCTGCCTTTCCTGTCCTAGGTCAAGAGGAGACCCCAAGCTGGGAGCACATCTTGTTCACCTGCTGCCACAACCAGCACCTTGTCCTGCCCCCCACCAGGAGGCGGCTGCTCTCCTGGAGTGACAACTGGAGAGAGATCATAGACAGCAAGCGGGAAGCTGCACGGCGGGAGCGAACGGGTCCTGCGGTGGGCAGAAGCTGAAGGGGAAGGAGGGGAAGGCGGGCCAGCAGGGAGTCCCCGCAGAGCCTGGTGAGGGGCACCACCGTCGAGCAGGCAGACACCGGTACCTCTGTGCTGGCACAGGCCCGGCCACCTGGCTTGTCCTCAGATGGTTGCTCCTGGAGCACGGCTGGCATGGAAATACAGTCAGGACCCTTTTAATAAAAGACTGTGGCTCTCTGGTCTTTAGATCTTTTATTTGGGAAAGTAAAGGGACAGGGGCTGATGAGGAGACCGTCCCTTCTTTCTCCTTAGGCCAGTGACCCGAGAATCCGCCCCATTCCAGATGCACCTGGATACTGTTCCTCTAGCACCTGCCTTTCCTTGGCCATCTAAGGGGTCAACCTTGAGGAAGTGCAGAAGAGAGGCCAGGACACCCCCACTTTTCCCACGCTCCTTCCTCTGTTGACCAGCGCACACACACTATGTCGCATCTCTTCCTCTGGCTCCATCACTCTTTCACCTGCATCCCCGATTCCCTAACGAGCCTGAGGTACACTTCTAGGGGTAGGGCCTCCCCCTCACTGACTGTGACAGCAGAGAGGGAGGGCCACAGGTGGCAGGGGAGAAGATGCAGCTCCAAGGGCTTCTGCCTTTATTCTGGTCTGTGGACGGCTAACCCGGGCCGCGGCGATATCCAGGTCGGCATCCACTGGGACCCTGCTGCTCAGCCTGGGGAGCTTGAGAGGGAGGCGTGACACCTTCCCAGGGCCGAGATCCTTTCACCACCAGGCTTCTCCCTTCTATCCCTCAAAATTACTCCAGACGTTTCTTGAAGTGGTAATCCCTTATTTCCTCAGGCGCAGGCAACTCTCCGTAGCCTCAGTCCCAGCTGCTCCTCCTGAGAACGCCCTTCTGCAAAGCCTCTGGATCCAGGGACCCAGCTGCTGCTTACCCGAGGGCACGAGCCTGGCAGTGAGGTGGCACTGGAGGCAGGGCCCTCACCCCCAGTTGGTTGAGAGTGCCAGCCTACGAAGATGGCACCGCTTTGACTTCCTTCGCCATGTGTCTCAGTGTCTCAAAGTGTGGCTTCCTCACTTGTACTGCCTTTTCATCACAGTGTAAATACCCGTCGTGCTGGAAAAACTCACCTTTAAAATGGCTGAAAAGGCACCACTGGGGCAGAATGTGCTCCAGGGAGCTATGTTCCCCCAGCTTCCCACGCCCCCACTGGGACCGAGTTCTCCGGCCTTGGGGTCTCCTGAGGTCAGAGCTGTTCTGGGGCTGCAGTCCTCGGCAGAGGGATACCCAGGGCAGAGTGAGCCTGCCTGTTGCGGGCTTCGGCCACCAGGCTTGGGGAACAGAGGTCCTCTAGGAAGATCTGAGCCAGGTTCCGGAGCCTCGTGTTGGCAGAGAGAGAGAAGCGCAGCATGCACTGGACCACGGGCAGGGCAGTCAGCTCAGGGTGGGAGCCTGGGCCTGGTGAGCTCAGGTATATGAGCGTGGTGACGGCGGACAATACCGTCTCCTCATTGGGACTGGACAGGCAGTTGGTGATGAGCGGGATGCCTCCTGCCTGCAGGATGTGCTCCTTGTTGGCCCTGTCTGGGCACAGGTTGCAGAGGCCTCCTGGGGAAGAGAGAGGATGAGTCTGGACGCTCCCGCCCAGGGCTTCCTCCCCACTCCCTCCCAGCTGCTCTGTCCAGGGAGTCCCAGGGAAGGGCATGTGAGAAGCTGGCCCAGGGACGAAGGATCTAAAGTCCATCTGGTCTCCAGCCTTCTCTCTCAAGGTTCCAGGAAGGTCTGCAGGCTGCTACGGCTTGCCACAGCCTAGACCTTCCAGAATTGGGCTCAAATCCCCTTCCCTCTTGGTTCAGCCAGTTCAATGGCTGATATGCTTTCCTTTCTTAGAAGTAAAAAACAAGCTAGGCATGGTGGCTCACGCTTGTAATCCTAGCACTCTGGGAGACCGAGGCAGGAGAACTGCTTGAGGCCAGGAGTTTGAGACCAGCCTGAGCAAGAGTGAGACCCTGTCACCACAAAAAATAGAAAAAATTAGCCAGGCATGGTGGCACATGCCTGTAGTCCCAGCTACTCGGGAGGATCGCTTTGAGCCTAGGAGTTTGAGGCTGCAGTGAGCTATGATCAAGCCACTACACTCCAGCCTGGGTGACAAAGCAAGATCAGGTAAGGTGATGGTTTCATGGATATATACATATGTTGTTAAAACTTATTTATACCCTTTGAATAGTACAATTTATTATGTCATTCATATCTCAATAAAACTTAATATTAGAAAGGAGCTAAAATGTAAACCATCTTTATCCTACCATTCAGACATTTAACACTTTTCATCCCCCCAATTTTTTTTTTTTTTTGAGACTGGGTATCACTCTGTCACCCAGGCTAGAGTGCAGTGACATGATCACAGCTCACTACACCCTCCAAATCCCGGGCTCAAGCAATCCTTGCTCAGCCTCCCATGTAGCTAGGACTACAGGAACATGATACCACACTTGGCAAATCTGTAAATTTTTTGTAGACTTGGGGTTTTGCTATGTTGCCCAGGCTTATCTTGAACTCTGGGCCTCAAGCGATCCTCCTGCCTCAGTCTCCCAAAGTGCTGGGATTACGGGCGTGAGCCACTGCACTTGGCCTCCACAATTTTTAATATTTGAATACACACAAATGTTTGATAAAAATGGGATACTCTCCTTGCTGCTTTGTAACAATGTATTGTGAACATCTTTCCATGCCCATAAATCCACAATCATGGCTATGCAGCCATTGTGGTTAATGGCATATAATTTATTAAGAGGTTAGAGCATTTTCTGAAATGCGGTATGACTAAAAAAGAAAAAAAGAGAAAAAGAAGTTTAGAGGGCATTTTACTGTTATTTCCATGTCATTGTTACTGATTCTGGGGGCAAGAAGAAAAGGCCAGAGTGAGAAACCTATGGTTCTGGATCAAAGAACCCATGTGCTCAGGCCTCCTTAATTTAATGACCTCTTGGCCTTGGAGACAGATGCTACTTTGTCTTGGAGCTCATTCTGCTTAGCACTGGCTGCTCATTGCGGGAAGATGACTTCCTGTGCATCCTGACTCAGCTTCCTGCCATCATGGTGCCCTCTCTCCCTTAGGTTCCTGCTTAGTGGGAGGAAGCCAGCTTCTCAGCTCATTTGCATAACATGCCTGATGAGTCCTGCGTGACCAATCAGGGGTGAGGGTCACAGCCGGCCCACTTCCTCTGTTCCTCTCAGAATTAGCAAACAGAAGAGGGCCCACCCGAGCCTGACACCCAGCTAAGACATCTTCCCCAGCAAAAGGCATAGGCGCCATGGTGGCCCAGCCAGGAACCTCATCTTCTGCCAGGGGCAGGAGTCAGCTAAGGTTTGGCTCTGCTGCCCCCTCCCGAGCAGCACCTGGGTCAGGTTGTGTCCTGCTTTCTGGAAACATTTTTAAAGGTTCCCACTACATTTGGAATAAAATCCCGACTCCCTGTGTACCCTTCACCCAGGCGCCACCCGATTTTCCCTCTCTCTGGCACTCACTGCAGTTGCCAACCTCAGTCCACCCCTGGGACCTTTCGGCCCCAGATCTTCACATGCTGACACCCTCTTGCTGGTAACAGGCACCCCACTGCCTGGCGCGTGAGCGAGGCTTCCCTGCAATACCCTAACTAGCTGCTCTGCCATGTTCAAGACGGCCCCTCATCACCCGACGTCATTTTCTCCATATACTTAGAACTCTAAGGAATCATCTTCGAGATTCCTTTCCTTGCTCATTGCTCACCGAGCCCCACTAGGAGGTAAGTGCCCTGAGGTCACAAGACCTCGGCTGTCTTATTCCCACCACATCCGCAGTGCCTGGCCCACGAGGTGCTGCGCAAAGATTTGCCAAAAGTCTTCTACAGCAGTGACCAGGAGGAGAGGGTTGAGAGAACTGCGGAGGATTGGGGGGCTAGACAGGATGGCTCCCTGATATCCCACTCTGGACTTCTGCAGCTCTGGGTTCCCGGCTGTGGCTCACAGGCAGGGCCTGCCGGAGGGAAGGAAGAGGCTCAGTGGTCTCCCTGGAGTCCTGAGGACGAGGAGCAGCAGCGGAGGGCGACGAGGCACTCCGGGCAAGAGGACCCTCTCCATGGTGCCCTCAGAGCCTTCCCTGCCAATCTGTATCTCAACACCTGCTCGACTTCAGGGCAGCCTTTAGCACCAGCTGGGGACATCCTGTGGACTGCTTCCTGTCCTTGCTGTCTGTCCCCTGCACCAGGCGACATAAGGCAGGGCCCTGCTCACTGGTTTAGCGCCGCAGCCCAGGCGCCTGGAACAGTGGATACTCACTGAACACATGCTGGGCACATGCCTGAACCCTATGAAGCCGCATCTTAGAGGAAGAAGTCAAAGCTGTGAGAGGTTGAGGACTTGTCCAAAGTCCCAAAGAGAGGGAGCCCTTTGCCACTCCCATAGGAAATGGTGTCCCTCTGGAAGCCATAAGGGCAACTTATTTCTGACTTAAGGCACTTGCCATGCTCAGCCTGGAGCAGGGACAATGTTCTGGAAGGCCTTTGCTTCTCAGACACACCTATACGGTTTCTTCCGAGCTGAGGGCGGCGAGCCCACCTATACCCACACTGTGGGCTTGGGATGGGGCAGGGGTGTGGCAATGGGATTTAACTCTGCTCTAAAGTGTGATATGATGAAGCCTGAGTCACTGCCTGACTGGTGAGTCATCATCACACCCAGGTGTGCCTGGGCAGGGCACTGTCCCCCAGGCCAGGGGATAATCAGATGGCATCTGCTGGAGGGTGGGGACAGGAGGAAGCCTCAGGACAGCTGGCCCCACTGCCTCTCCAAGCAGAGGCCTGGGAGTCCTCCAAGATGGATCAGGTGCCTACCAGAGCTCACCAGCTGCCTGGGCCCCAACTGCAGGGGCAGTGAACTTTTTAAGCCCCTCTGCCTGGCTGGCAGCATCCCTCAGAGATGAAAAGGCGAGTGAGGGTCTGGAAAGAAAAGGGCAGAGGGCTTCAGGGGCAGCAAGATGAGCCAAGATGGCACCAGAGGACCCATGAGAGGCCACAGCCATAGTGGCTTGGACCTTCCCTCCAGGCCACCTCTGTGAGCCTGCCCTAAAGAAGTGAGGAGAGCCATGGAAAAAGCAATGCAGAAACTGGAAGCTCCCCACAATTCTCAACAGTAGCAAAGTGGCTAAATAAATTATGGTACATTTATATGATGGACAATTACATAGTTCCTAAAAATGATGTCTTCAAAGAATATTTAATGTGGGAAAATGCTTCCAATGTAAGGTTAAGGAGGGAAAAAGGACACCAAATTGTATATACAATAAAATAGGTCCACTAAGATGTCACCTCTAAGCTCGTCCGTGAGCACCCTAATCAGCCCCTCCCAGCACGCTGGCCCTGACCGGGCTTCAGGTTTTCCTTCACACTTACTGATGATACATTAAGAGCTATTTGTCAAAATGCTTATTGGCTGTTGCCCCACTAAACATAAACTCCAAAAGAACAGGGTCTTTGTTCCTATTCTGTACCTATAGCCTGGCCTGTAGCAGGTACTCAATAAATAGCTGCAAAATGAATATATATATTAACGAAGACAGGCTGAGGGCTGGCATGGTGGCTCAGGCCTGTAATCTCAACACTCTGGGAGGCTGAGGTGGGTGGATCGTTTGAGGCCAGGAGTTTAAGACCAGCCTAGGCAACATAGCGAGACCCCCATCTCTACACAAAATAGAAAAATTAGGTGGGTGTGGTGGCACAGGCCTGTAGTTCCAGCTACTCAGGATGCTAAGGTAGGAGTATCACATGAGCCCAGGAGTTTAAGGTTGCAGTGAGCCATGGTGACGCCACTGCACTCTAGCCAGGGCAATAAAGCAAGACTGTGTCTCAGGAAAAAAAAAAAAAAAAAAAGTAAAGAGATGAAAGGAGAAAACATTTACAGACTATGAATCTGACATAGAATTCATATCCAGAATAAAGAATTTCCACATATCAATAAAAGATGAACCCAATTAAAAAAATAAACAAAAAGACTTGAACAAACTTTTCACAAAAGGGCCAACACATATGAAAATGTGCCCATCCTTATTTATCAGAGAAATGAAAACGAAAAGCACAACAGGACGCCACTACACAGCCAGCACACTAGCTAAAATACAAAAGACTGCCCAGACTGTGTTGGTCAGGAAGTGGAGCTGGTGGAACACGGCGTGACCAGGCTGGAAAGCTACTGGCAGCTTCTGACAAAGATAAACACACATCTACCCTTAGCCTCGGCAACTCCACTCCTAGGTACCTACCTAAGAGAAATGAGTACGTATGTGTACAAGAATCGAATAAAAACGATCATAACACCTTTGTTCATAAAGGCTCCAAACCAGAAACAATTCAAACCTCCATCAACAGGTAAATGGATAGACCAATTGTGAGGTGTCTATTTAAAGGAACGAAAGGGCTGGTGCAATGGCTCACGCCTGTTAACTCCAGCATTTGGGGAGACCAAAGCAGGAGGATCACCTAAGGCCAGGAATTTGAGATCAGCCTGGGCAACACAGCGAGAACCCATCTCTACAAAAATTAAAGGTGTAGCGGTGCTCACCTGTGATCCCA